CAACTCGAACATGGCTATGCCGTAAAAATTCATTTTCCATGGATTCTGAACTATCTTGCCTTTTAAAGTTAGTCAACAGGTCATTCTAAGTCTGTAAATTTAGCTATCTCACTTTTGGGCGGATCTGGATCTGAAGCTAAATATCAGAGAAAACCTTTTTTGGTTTATATGGAAGTGGGTGTAGGTCGGACGTAAAGCACAGAAGAAATCAACCAGTTCTTCTCTAAATAAACCTCAACCCTGGACTATTAGGAGTGAAATACACCAGCACAGCTATCAGCTGGACTCGTTCGTAGGGTTGTTCACTATCTTCAATCCCGGCAAAATCCAATTGAGCTCCATTTTTTTAATTAATTATATAGCTAATGTCGGAACCCTGGTAGTGCCTGAAGTGGAGCGGAAGCTTACTTATCATCCCATTTTTAGAGTAGAGTGAAATGTTGAGACGTAAGTGAAAAGTACACCTTACTCCTGATGTCCCAGTTTTAAACGAGTAATGGAAGTCAGTGTAAAACTGGCAGAAAGGGGAAATCGGCGTCTTCAGAGAAATATAAGACTTTGAAAATGAAGTAAAATCAAGGATCGGACGAGAATGTTACCTGTGTGCAAATTGTAGGTCCCGTTGCAAATGTTGCAACCTCTACAGCTTTTACAACGCTTAACAACTCGTTTGCCTTAGGTGTGTACGGCAGCTAAGCCGGATTGGGGGCCTTTATTACGCCCTAGTTTGACTGTTTTCAACCCGACAGCGTCCCTAAGGCTATTTTTAAAGTTCATAGGTTCATCTCGGGAGAAAATCTCAGAAACCATTTCAACATGAACTATGCCTTTAAAATATCTCAGAAGACCGCCGGAAATCGATATTATTGAAAGGTATTCACTTACTTTAACTAGGGTTGCCCTTCATTAATTATCAGTAATTTCCCTGAAGCAAGTGCAATGGAAACGAACTACCTGAGCAAAAATACCGATAGATAACACTTGCACTTTTCCTTCTTGGTCGTGTTATTACTGCTTGAAGGCACCGTTCACATAGTTTCGGGTAATCCAGATTATGATGAAAAATGGAAGACAAGATCGAAACTAGTGCGACTGAGGTGAAGAAACTGCGTGCATCGGGGTTTTCAAAGTGAAAAATGCTTCGAAAAAACGTTAAAAAAGGGGCTGGACGTGAATGAATCCAGAAAAATGAAGAAGGGTGGGGCGCCCGAACGAGCTAAATAGTGTGTTTCACTGCGCGCGTGTGAGTTCTGGTGCGAATAACAGACAATGGTAAGAAAAAATTCATTCACTTATAAGCATAAATAAACTTAAAAACCCTAGTGACAGCAAAAGTAGCTCACGTTTTTCAGTCTCTAGGAGTAGGAAATTAAATAAAAGATCGCGGCAGCAAAAAGAAAAACAGGAAAAAAGAATGGGAGAAAAACATTGCTTCATCACTCAGCGATTAGCTAATTGTGCGTGGGTCCTAGAACGAATAATAGCAATCTGTATTTTCTCGACACTCGTCTAACGTGACACCGATCGAGGGGCGGGAACGCGAACTACGGCAACAACGTGGCTGCCACTATGCCCTGGACGTCGAGATTGGGGGAGTGAGAGGGTTCCTTCTACAGCCCATGGGGGCCGCTGAGTATTAATAAGGTAAGAACTCAATAACTTTTTTATAGTGAACGGTGCATTTAATTACCGTTGCATAATAGAGAAAAATGATAAAAAGATGGCGATGATGAGGAGTAAGTGGTGAAAGGCTGAGCAATGAGAAGGATGCCTAAAGAGCCCGTGAGTGGCACTTCAGGGTTCTACCCAAGTTCATAAGCTGTCTGGGAAGACAGCAAAGATACTTAAAAATTAATTATTAGCAGATTTTGTAGTCCAATCTGATTTAGTGGAAGCCGCTGTACATGGAAGCTCCGACCTCCAGGTGCAAAGGGTAGCTCCGACGAAGTTCCATTAGTTGAACGGATTACAATGTTATGAGTAGTAAGGGAACAGAACTTAGGCCCGTACATGCAAAAGGAACGGGCACAAATAGAAGCTTCGCAGAGTCGAGGATTCCGATCGACGATGAAGAGGTCGTAGATTGAGGTTCTCAAGTCAACGGGCAGGGCGGAGAGTCAAAGGTTGAGGCACTATTAAGCCCGTGCCAGACGTCTGTTTTTCATAGCAACGTCACCTGTGATAGGTTCCACAAGTTCACATTTCAGACCGATTTCTTCGAAGAGTCTAAGCTGCACAACGGTCAATTTCCTCGGCTGCTCACCCTTTGCTCCACAAAAAGTTTGGAGGAATAAAAGGAGGACGAAGAGGACATTCTGAATAGTTGAAAAGAGCAGATCCTTTGGGAGCTGTGGTTTTATAGCTCACATTAAGTCGTTGCAGGACCTCCGAAAGGAAATCCAAAAGGGCAGGAGAACTTTTGAAGGCTTGAAACTATCACTATTAGAGCATCCCTTAGCTAGCGAGAAGGATTGGATGTCTGGAGCATCATCTATCTGAATGTTCTCTATGAGGACGAATATGAGTCGAATTAGCCAACAATTTCACACCCGATGGATCTTAGATCACCTTGCTCTCATGACAAATTGGGGCACTTCCCCTCAGGCGTTTCCCATGCAACTGTAGCAAGCTACTACTGAAATATTAGTCTGACCGAACGATTGTAATCTGGTGAGTTAGCGGAGGAGAGGGGTAATAGGCTCAAAATATTACCAGCTCACGGGAATCGCAGAACGAGTAATGGGCCTGAAGCTTTCAGACTAGGCGCTTTATGACCATCCGTCGTTTGAGTTACAAAGAGTAAAGGCCATCTATCTGATTTATTGCCGATTTCACTTAGCGCATCTTTTCAAATTGTTCGCGAGATACTATTTATAGATGCTATTTATATCACAGATATACGGTATTTGCTTGACCGGAGTGCTAATAGTTTCTCGCCGAGACCAAAGCTCGTTCAACCAGAGATGGCAATAGGAATGCTCCGGCTAAATCGGGAAGCGAAATCAGCGATGCAGAAGCAAGTCAGAATGCAATTTTCGGACAGAGTGGTTAATTCTCGGATGGGCATCTCGAAGGTGGCTAGCTGTTTAGACTTTAGAAGAAAGGACCCTTAACAAATGATATGTGATGCTCCCATTCTAACCGTCCCAAATGTTTTCGCTAGTCATCGGAAGGGTGAAGGATAAATTCTTCGGGTGTTAATTAATCCCGTCGGAGGGATTCTCCACGCATTCAACTTCCATTCAGAATCGTAGTGGCCTGATGAATGCGTATGTGGCCATACAAAGACTTTTGGTAAACAGGCGAATGCTCATTCCAATGCTTTCATCCTCCCAGACGAGTTGGTTCTATTAAAGGAACTTTGTACAAAGGAGGCGCTGCTCGACTTACTCGGCTATCGAGCCGGGATTCGATCCCCAGAGTCATGTGTGTGGTGACGTGTCCCACCTCTGCCCGAAATTTGACAGAGAAATCTGAATCTGTTTTTTTTTTTCAGAACACAAAGGACTTTCACTGCATGAAAACCTTTAACCAATTCGGAAATACAAATGTTGTAGGAGGTAAAGAGCAGAAGGAAGCCTTGGGCCAGAACATAGAGAAAATAGAAGATCCACCAAGGAAGTCAACGATGCACTCCGCCGAGACTAACTTCATAATTCGAGAGCAATCCAGCTTCATCTCAGAGAAGTTATGGAAGGATAGGACTTCTAACATTGAACATAGGGGAAAGAATAGTCGAAAATGAGAGGTTTCAGTTCTATTGTCAGAAGACCCATGAAGGCAAGCAACGACGTCCCAATAGATTTTATTGGAGCATCAAGAGTGAAAAATAAAGAAAAAACGTCGTTATCACCTTGGTGATAAATACGGGGGGAGAGGAATGGGAAAAGTACATACTACATAAAAGGTGAAGCTTTAAATAAAGAAAACATCGCCTAGGACTATGAATTGAGAAAGATGATCAAATAAGGAAGTTTAAATCAAGTTTAGAAAGCAGTCTTAAAGGAACCACCAGATAAACCATGTCCGAGGCAAGCTAGGCCAACAACGACTTCCTTGCACCGAAAAGTAGGAAACAAGTATCTGCTGCATATGAACTCAAGCAGAAGGCTAATTTCTGCTTTCATCCAAATAATTACCACTGAAATAGAATTTATAGGGTTAAAAAAATGATCAGCAGCTTAAGCAACCAATTTCGAGGAGAGAGGTGACGGTAAATCTAGACAGTCCTGAAACGCCCAATCATCCAGGAGAAGTCCATCTTCTGAGTGATCGAAGGGCTCTGACAACGTCGACGCCGAATCTTCAGTCCCTCTCGGAGGAAAACAGTTCTTTCAGCTTCGGGCGAGTACTTTGCGAACGACCAAAGACCTCAAACTCAAAAGATTTTCTCGAAGGACAGTCTGAACTTTCGTCATCTTCCTCCTACTCAAAAGCGGAAATCAGTCCTGGAGAGCAGCACCAATATGTATAGTTGCCCAAATGGGAGGTTGTAATGAAAATTGCATCATCGCATCAGATTAATTCAAGAACCGTCAATCGATATCTCAAAGTTGATCGCGATCAATACCATCACGAAAATAACTTCGACAGCAGATCGACTTGAAATGATGTGCATCAGTATTCTTCTTAGAAGCCAAGCACTGTTCAGAGGATACGTTGGGGTAGAATAATTACTGCCTCTGATACCAAGTTTCTGAGAAAGTTCTCCTTTATACAGGTTAGTTCCCTCTTCTCCTGCCCTAGTACCTTTGAAAAGGCAGTCTGCCAAAGTATCAAACAACGTCTCGAAAGATAAAACACTATTCATAGTTTATTATTGCGGTTTTTAAATGATTGGCTGACATCGAAAATATTGAACACGTTGAACGATTTCTTTGGAATAATGCAGAGCATGCCATCTTCTGGAATAAATTGGATTGCCTCGTACGGACACAAGGAAGAGAAGTTCTCTCTAAGTCTTCGATGTAGAATAGTAGTTACCTTGACCGAAGCTAACGTCACTTGGGCTTTGTCGCTGCAGGTGTCGTTTTCTGGGCAGGAATGACTGCAGCTGGCTTGGGAGGAGGCGTCGTTTTGGGCGCTTGAGTCGCCGGAGGTAAGGAAGATGGCGAGGGAGGTTTCAAGGGAGGTACAAGTGGCTTCGGTGGTAATGGAGCTGGTGGAGCATTCTGAAGTAACGGCTGTCCTTGAGACGCGGCAATTGGTGGTGTAGGCGTAGAAGCAATATGGGGAGGAGAAGAAAGGGGCTGAGGCGGAGGTTGATGGGGCGGTGGTGTTACTGTAGCTAACACCTTCGGCTTCACAGCAGCTGCCGGTGGCTGTTTTGAAGGAGGTGCAGCTGATGTCGTCTTCGGCTTAGTTGCAGATGGAGGTGGTGTGATCGGAACAATCTTAGCTTTGACTGGAGGTAGTGGTTGCGGCTCCTTCGGTTTCGTAAGAGGAGCCTTGAGTGGTGGAGGAAGTGGTTCGAGAGGAGCAGGCTTTGATGCAGGAATTGGGCCGGATGGACGACTTGGAGCTGACGGTGGAGGAGGAGGTGCTGCTTGGAGCAGTGCCTCGGGTACAACGTCCTCATACTGTTTTTCTTGAACTACATAAACAGATTGTTTAGCCTGCGCCGGTTGCCCTTGAGGTGCTGGCTCCTTGGGCTTTGTAGGCTTTGGTGCCGAAACTTTGACCGCTGTGGGCATCGATGGCAACGTTTTTGCAGGTGGAGGTGGTTGTGTTGGAGCTTTCGGTGGTGCAGGCGGTGTTGGTAAAGTTTTGACTGGCGGTGGTGGTGTTGTAATCTTGGCAGGTGCAGGCGGTGTTGGTGAACTTTTGACTGGTGGAGGTGACGGTTTCGGAATTTTCGCCTGTGGAGGAGGCGATTTAGGCGGAACAGGCTTCGATACAGGTGGCGGGCCAGGTGGACGACCTGGCGGAGGTGGTGCCGCTAGAAGTACTGCCTCTGGTATCACATCTTCATACTGTCCCTCTTGAGCCGCAGCAGCTGGTGGTTTTACAGAAGGTGAAGGTGGACGAGGTGGTGCTGCTGCTTCCTTAGGCTTCGAAGGAGGTGACGGTTTTGGAACTGTAGCTGGTGCCGGTGACGGAATTTTTATTGGTGGAGGTGGTCGTGGTGGAGTTTTGACAGGTGGAGGCGGTGTTGGTGAAGTTATGAATGGTGAGGTTCTGGCTTGTGGAGCAGGTGGTTTAGGTGGAGCTGGTTTTGGAACAGGAGGCGGGCCAGGTGAATGACCTGGTGGCGGTGGTGCAGCTAGAAGCACTGCTTCTGGTATTACGTCCTCATATTGTCCTTCTTGGGCTGCAGCAGCTGACGGCTGTACGTGAGGTGGAGGTGGACGAGGAGGTGCTGCTGCTTCCTTAGGCTTCAGAGGAGCTGGTGGCGGTGGAGGCCGTGGTGGAGTTTTAGCAGGTGTGGGCGGTGTCTTCGCTAGTGGAGTAGAAGCTTTTGGAAAAACAGGAGGACGAATCGGAGCCGAAATTGGAGGTGGAGGAGCAGCTTGGAGCAGTGCCTCTGGTATTACATCCTCATACGCTCCTTCTGATGGGAGTGGCTGAGGTTGTGGTGGAGGTACCCGTGAAGTTGGAAGTCTGGGCGGCTGCGAACGAACGCTAGCTGCAGGTGGAGGCGGGGGTTCAGCAGCAAGCAGAGCCTCGGGTACGACGTCCTCATATTGTCCTTCGCCACCGATGGCGGTCATGGAAATTGGCAGCGGTTCAACAGGTCGTACAGATCGTGGCTGTACTGGCAGAGGAACGACTCCCTTAACAGTCATCGGTCTAGCCTGGAAAATTCGAAAATATGGTTTTGTTTATAATAGACTTACAGCAACTCATATGAGTAGCCTTACCGTTGACTTAGCGATGCTTTGTGTAGTCAATTTTTGAGTTGTGGCTTGCCCTATTCCAGTTTTGACGGTTTGCCCCCGTTGGGTTTTAACTATTTCCACCTTTCCAGTTTTTGGTGCAAAGCCTCCGAGAGATAAGAAGTTCGGATCGGTTGTAGACTGTAAGGCTGGTTCTGGTGGTTGCGTCTCAAGTGAATCAGCAACCGAAGCAGATTTACTCTGTAAATGTTTCCCCAATCAGAATTTATATATAAAACGAGCTATGGAGCACAAACCTGCTGCTGTAGAGCTGTGTTCACGCTGAGAGCAGATCGTTGAGTTTGAGACGTTGATTTGTCCGGCCCCAATAGTTCACTCCTCGTCGTTTTCGAGCTCTATACTTTGATAATTTGAAATTTCTAATTTAATAATTTGAAATCTATCAAAAGTAACATGTTTAAGACGGCCATATCGGTGTCATCCGGGAGGCAGGAGAAAGCGGACTCTTTGGAACTTGCGAGAAAGATCGCACTTTCCAAGTTACCCTCTGGCTCTTAAAAATAGTTATGGAGCACATAAAAAGGAAGAACATGGCCTTACCATCGATAGCTCGGATAAAGTGGCGTTCTGCATCCCCTATATT